GTGATTTCAATCTTCATCATTTTATGTGTACTGCAGGTTTTAAAAGAAAATTATCCAACTTTGAGTGTTTTAAATGTTTTTTTTAGGTCTTGTCCATGTGCGTCAGAGTTTAAAAACCTTTCAGCCAATCGATGAGCTGAAGAAGGGTCCATTCACCCTGCGGGTGCAAGTCCTGGGGTACCAGCCGACTGATCTAGGGGTGGAGGTGGACATCTGTCTGTCTGCTACTTCCCGCTCCAGATGCGTAGTGTGGGAGAGCATCCTGACACTGCTTTCCGAAAACAAGCTTCACAAAGCCATCAGATGTTCACCTAAGAATGAAAATGAGAGTGAGTAGTGTCACGGTGGTTCCCCTTCAGAATATTTGTGTTTTTAAAGCGACGGCACACTTGGGGCTTTAACTCACCTGATCACCATGACTTTGATCTTTGTTCTGGCAGGTGAGAAAGATGAGCCAGCACCGGACACTCTGAAGCAGGTGGAGCTCAAAGTTCCCTGGACTCCTGACCTGAAGTGTACATGGAGTTTTCCATGTAAGCTCCTCTCTCTGCCGGCCAGGCTCTTTAGATTCACTCCTCACAGAGTACCGAGTCTCTGGATGTTCTCTGTCTGCTTGGCTGAAATTGAAAAGCACAAAGGTAATGCGATTTATCAGACGATAACAGTATTAATTATCTCTATGAAGGATGGCTCTGTCCTGTTCTAGGGTGTCAGCTAGCTGCTCTGTTTTGCCAACAGGGGTTAAAGTGATCACCGCTCCCATTACCGTCACTGCCCAGTTTAAGGAGCCTCTGCTGGTTCCAGGAAAGGTGACGGTCAGTTTTTGGGAAGCACCCGAAAATAAGCATCAGTCCCAAAGCCTCTACTTTCAGATGCAGCAACACAGAGGGGGCAAAGCTCACCTGGTGGGACTGATTTCTAGGTGTTGATGATTAACAAAGAATGTTGTTATTTGTTGTTCAGATTTTCACTGTTAACAGTTTGACTGTCAGTAGATTGGCAGGTTACAGTCAACTGAATTCTGTTTTCTTACACCTCCCAATTCAAGTGCATAATCTCAGCTACGGTGGCTGTTATAGAACAAAAAGTTTTAGTCACCTAAGAGAGATCAAAACCATTACATTTAGCCAGCTGCTGCTGGCTGGCGTATTTCTACTACTGTTTGTGTAAAACAAATATGTTTTTCTACACAGTATTTTTGAATATGTTGAATAATGTCAAACTTTTCTGAACTTTTCTGTCATAAGCGCTGCTGTTTTTTGCTGCTGTTAGTCTGCCAGCTGCTCTTGTTTGCTGCTTTGAAGTAGATTCAGACACTTGGCGAATTAACTCTCATATGATGTGAGAATATAATCAAGCTGTTTATCAGAGGGAATGCTGGTTTCAAGGATACTTGATCCTATCGTTAGCTGGTATTGAGTTAGCTCATAACCAGCTGTTTTCGTTTAGTCGGCTCATTGTCGGCTCATTGTCGGCTGTTCAGAGGAGAGTTGTGTGTCTAATAAATGAGGAATAAATGAGCACACTTGTGGATGTTTTCATTCTGTTCTGACTAAATATTACTTATATACTATATTACCATTCAGTGCTTACCAGTAAGCAGATAAGGTGTTTCCAGGTATTTCCTTGTGAGTAATAATATCATTAATTGTATCTCCGATCAGTTAAAGCAGACCTTCCCAAAGTGTGGGGCCCGCGCCCTAGGGGGGGCGCAGAGTCATTGCATGGGGGGGGGGATGCTTGGACACTGCTAGCACGGGGCGCCCACACAAACGCAAAGCAGGAGATGAAGCATCACTGAATATGTTTCCAAACCAACTTCATTCTAAGCCAAAGACTAGAAAATATGGTGAAGCATATCTGCCCTTTGGTTTCACCTGCACAAATGCCGAGGTAGGTCTCCCCTGCAGAATTAGTTTTCCCTTCATCGGGAGCAGCGCTGGGCTCTTCAAATCACGGACAAACAGTATCCACAGTTGTTTATGTTTTTAAACCCATTTTGCACAGAGAGGCATTTTTGAAAAATGTATTGATAACAATGTTGAATATTATTACACAGGAAAAAAAACAACTACTTGTAAAATAATTACACCGTGACGCCTCTGCCTTTCTAAATAGAGGGACAGTAACTGCGTGTGTGTAAGCGTGTAAAACCTGAAGATAGAGACAAAATATTGTTAATCTGACTATCTGCTATTCTGCAATTCATCTCATGTAAACAATAACGTGGCGCACAGCGTGACGTGAATAAAGGCACATACCTTTGACGTTGCATGAGGAACTCTGTATTCCTCGTCCACACATAAACGCAAAAAAGGAGTTTTAAAAAATCTCCGTTTTACGTGTGGACGAAACAGCTGCGTTTTCAAAAATACCCGCGCAGGTGCGGACGTAGCGTTAAAGAGTTAGTAGTTTATTTTCTTACAACCTGTAATTTATTGCAGATTACTTGTATTTGCTTAATTGTTTACTAAATGTTTGAGGTGTGAAATAAACAGCAATGGAGCAAAATATGGGTGTGTGTGGTTGGAGGATGTGTTAGTGCGTGCGTGTGCGCGCGCGCACATTTTTCTTGTAAAACAAAGGGGGGCTAGCAAAAAACTTTTGGGAACCACTGACTTAAAGTGTCCCATTAAACCATGGCAGCATGCACAATGTCAGGACCCTGAGGCTAAAGCAGCTAAATGGTATTCAGGCATCGTTTGATTTATTTATGTGCTTTTCCCTTTGTGACAAGCAGAGATGGGCAGTAACGCGTTACTTGTAACGCGTTACTGTAATCTGATTACTTTTTTCGAGTAACGAGTAAAGTAAGGGATTACTATTGCAAAATCGGTAATTAGATTACCGTTACTTTCCCGTAGGAACGCTGCGTTACTGCGTTACTAAAACCGTGATTTTTTGCGAGAATGTCTCACGACAGTGACGTAAGCGAGTGCGCCGTTAGTGACAACAGCTGTGTGCAGATCAACAATGGATCACATATCGAGTGCGGGAGAGAGTATGAGCATGCAGCGTTTAAAGCGTGGAAGTACTGACCTTACTTTGAGTTTGATTCCATAAAAAGTGACAAAAACATTAGCGTCCATCGTGCGTGGGAAGAAAACTTCTTTTTACAGCGAAAAAAACCCCTAAACTTCCAAGGAAGCACCAAGAGCGCAACGACGTAATGGGAAACTCACAGAGACACTACCGTATCCTTCCACTGACCGCTGCACACCTGCACCAGGGTAAACCTCCGCCTACTGCAGTCCTGCTTTACAGGTGAAAATAGAGCAACAGGACCGCTGAGTCTTTGACTTTATTTATGTTCTGCTGTGTTTTACTTGCATCTATTTGAAAGAGTGAGTGTAAACACAAAAAATTATTTTATTTTATGTGCTGGAATGTGCAGAAAATAGGTTTAAATGTTAAACTCATTTATTCAAGTCAGAGAATGTTGCATATAATTAAATTTTTGCTTGATGCATAAAGTTAAAAGATTAAAAATGATAAAACAAGTTAAAAAAAAGAGACTTTTCCATTTGATTACATTTTGTATGATGGATTATGTAGAAAAAGTAGAATTGGGCTGAAAGATCTATCGCTTTATCACCTCTTCAGGTTGTAAATCGTGTTTTTAAAAAGTAACTAAGTAACTAAGTAACTAAGTAATTAATTACTTTTGAAAATAAGTAATCAGTAAAGTAACGGGATTACTTTTTTGGGGAAGTAATCAGTAATTAGTTACTGATTACTTTTTTCAAGTAACTTGACCAACACTGGTGACAAGTCAAAATGTCTCAAAAAGCTAAAGAGCAGCTGCTCTCTCAGACAATAAGAGTAAGAACAGAGAGTAGAAAGCACTGGTTTTCTAATTTAGAGGTGCGGTGCACAGTTCCCGTGCACAACCGCCTCTGACCTAAAAACCTGCTGGAAAATAAGAAATCACTTGTGAAAGATCAGACGCAGTTTCAACATTGAGTGTCCTCTGCATCAGTGCACCTGGTGCTTTAACACATGACTCTGGTGCATTCCTCAGGGTTTGCTGTAAATATTCTTGCATTCCTTGTTTGAGCTTTATTTAGTTTACACCAAATTGTTGTCAAACATAATCTTAAAGACTGTTTTTCCTTCAACATAAGAAATACATTTTCTGACAGGTGGCATCTCCTTTGAGCCTTCTCTTTCGCTGAAAAAAATAAAGTAATCCCCAATTTAGTCATTATTGTAAGGTCACAGTCTTAATTTTAAAGAATTTTTTGAAAGGGGTGTGTTGTTTGTTTGTTTGTTTGTTTTACTTCACAATATTTGTTGAATAGCTGAAATTTTTAAATTCAAGGATTTGTCACAATATTTAACACGGAGACTTAGAGCCTGTATTATATATTAGAAAACGTTCAGTGCATGGGATTGAAAAAAGTGGCGTTTTAAAAGGACAAAATCAGGACAAGTGTCTGTTGTAGTTCTGCGTAAACAAGAATTCAGGAAGGGACTGCAGGTATAATCTGACTTCACTGCCAGGTCCAGTAAAAGTTAGCGCCAACTTTAGATTGACATTTTGATTTTAATTAAAAACTAGCTGAAAAGAGCCTGTATTCACTGTATAAGCTGTCTATTTTAATATTGTTATTATTAACTGTCTGCGCATAAGCACGTTAGCATATTCTCCAAAATGGCAAATAATGTGCAATAAATTAACCTTTCTTCATTTCCTTGTTTTGGGTGGTGTTTGCCTTTTTGTTATTTCTAATTTAATGAAAACTCAAAAGTCAACTCTGGATGGTTAACATGTGAAGCAGAATCAATATAAAGGTCAATCCATTAGAAAATCACAAAGTTTAAAATAAGAGGTTCTGGTGTGAGTGCGTCGAGTCTGCCTCTGTGCAGCTACAGCTGTGAGCAGTTGTAGTGGATACGATGAGGGGAGGGCGTGTGTGAAGGATTTCTTGTTTGTAGACCACAAGGAATACTCTGCAAGCAGGAGACATCAGTTTTGCCAGCGGCACAGCAGAGCAGGAGGAAGCCTGCTTGATCATCCCATCTATGCCATGTGATTTTCCTTACATCGACCCGGGGAAGAGTTCAGGCTTAAAAAGCTTAAGGTAAAGGCATGTTTTTATTAAATTGATGTGTATTTTTACAGAAATGTGGATGTTCATTGTTGCATCAATTGTGTGTTTGATGTGTAAAGGACAGTTTTAAGTAATGTTAGCGTTCAGATAGCCATCATCATACATTAAGTGTACTCTATACTGCCCAACATTTTTAAAAAGTCAACTCTGTGATATTAAATTATTGTCCATTTTCTCCTGGCTGTGCCACATAGTTCCTCCTCCCAGAGATAACGCTTCTCCCAGGCTGCTCGTACTCACTGCTGAGACAAAAGGAGTCGCCAGCCATGTGAAGCTAAAGCCATAAACCAATGAACGTGTTTAAAACATTATCTATTTTTCATCTGTTCTTGTTCTTGCTCAGTCACCTCTACAAACTGGAGCATTCCCACTCCAACATGTACACTGCAGATATTATTCATTTATAGAGTCCCAATTCTGTCTTGCAGGAGTCAGTCAAGTGTAAGAGGGTCAGTTTGTAAAGCTCCTGTGCAGAGTGCAGTGCATTTAGCACACAGAGCTATAAATCCTCTAGAAAAGTATTTCAATACAGTTTCCAGTGTGCATATTTATTGCATATTCCCATTTGCATTTGTTTGCGCTTGTCCTTTCTTTAAAACGGGACTAAAGCTTGAAGATTTGCCCACTGACACGAATCTGTCAGCATTCCACACCCATAAGTAGGATGGCAGGTTTCCAGGATGCTCTGATGAGCAGTGCCTTTATCACTTCATCTGAAATGTTTCTGTGTGGCAGCAGGGGAGGAGGAAGGTGTGTTTAAAAGAGATCAAACACTCACTTTCCTTGGTTTGTTAAAGCACTTTTGAGGCCTTCATCTGTCTCCACCTTCACAGAGCCGGTCCTTCGGGAATTCAGGTTATTTTTGCTTCCTTTAAAAGTAACGGCTTCTTTTATTTATTCAGAGAGGCCAGCGCATAAAACAAGTCCACTATTTGTTGCCCCAGTTACACTGTTAGCGAAACACTGTACTATAATGTAACTGCATGATGTAGTCAGTTTGTAATTGTGCATTAATAATTCAAAAATTAAATAAATAAAGTAGGGGTAAATTTTGTTGACCTCAAATCATGTAGCAGCACCTTTATTCAGACCTTAGTAATAACTAGATATGTGACACCAGCCATGGTTTCTTGACTATTTCTTTCAAGGTCAACTTTGATTGTGGGCACTAACAGTGAAGGTCAAGGTCAAATATTTAGCCAGTCTAGATAGACAACATTAAAAATGATATCTTTAAAACTGTGGTCACTGGACCGATAACGAACAGACAGACAGACAAACAAATGGAAACGATTACATACTCCTTCCCTTCAAGAGAAAACAACTGTTTCCTGTCAGAGGGTTTAATTATACTATCAAGCATTTTAATATACATGATGCAAACATATGCTTATTTTGCACCATCAGTGTCCATGTTGGTCATGATGCCAGTTTGTTTGTTTGAGGAGTTTGGAGCATTTCTGTGGGAAGCAGTTCAAGTCAGGTGATGCTCTGCACGTCACTGTTTCCTGTGATGGATCTTCACAGACCCTCAGACGTCAGAGGGCCAGTAATTTTGTAGTGCCATGTTCTTGACACTTTCTTGACATTGGCATCAATTAATTTCTTTGGTGGAAATTCATCAGATTCATACAGTTGTATTACAGCTAAAAGATAAAATACCCGTCCAGGTGAACAAAGACTTTTTGTTTTTTTTTACAGATTTCATAAGTCTTAAAAAACTAAAAAAGAATGAACACAATATACATAAAATAATGATACAATTCAGGGCACAAACCCCAGTTTTCTGGGTCAAAGGTATGTGGCCTCCTAAAATGAACTGTATTGCTTTTTCTAGAATCTGCAAAGCAAAAACAATTTTCCCGTTACATACAATGCAGACTCATAAAATCAATAAGCTTCCCTCCAAAAGCAGGGATGTCATAATTTATTCATTTAGACCATTTTGTTTACTATGTAGTAGTAATCTTAAAATGATTATATTAGTATTTATTGTTTGCTAAATATTCTCATATTGTTAAAAAAAAGGAAGGCCTATTTACTGGATTATTCTATATTGTTTTGGGCTCACAAAATAAACCAGCCCCAGGTGTCTGTTGTTGTGAGCTGGTGTTACATAAATAATATTGAACTGAGTCTTGCAGTCATCCTCAGTGAACAGACTACAGTTTCTAAGGTCAGAGGCTAACCTCCAGTTTTTTGTTTGGTCTCAGTGTGAAAGGCAGATTTACATGAAGAAGCAAGGAAAAGGAAACACTGCCAGCATCCCCATTTCTTCCCCAACAGGGAGCAGCAGTGTGCAGGTCTACCATGACTATGAGAAGGTGGCCTTCAAGATGCATTCTGGAAATGGTCATGCTGCAGAAAACAGTTCTCATCCCAGGAGAGACCAGCTCTCCAGCCGAGCTAGTGCCAACGTTCCAGACATCAACTCCATCAGCCACGAAGAAAAGCGCAGCACGAAAGACGAGATTGGCCACAGGAGCTTCATAAGGACGATGGAGTCAAGCAGCCAGGGCTACTCGGGGCCAGAAGACAACTCAACAGACCCACATGAGACCCTGACAGAGACTTCAACTCTGACTTTTGTGGATGGACGCAGTACGGAGGAGTCAGCAGAGAGCCGCAGTCTCCACGGAGTGGGGATGGTTTATCTCAAGGAGTTTGTGCTCATAGATGATGATGAAGACGGGGATATGTCGCTAAGAGAGAAAACAGTGACAGACGTGTCCTTGATGGATGGAAAAGCTGCAGACCTGGTGTGCAGCAGGCTTTTGTCCACCTCCAGCGGTTCAGTGTCAGAGTACAAGGAAACATCTGCTCCTGACGCGCCTCCTCCTGAGGAGCCTGAAGCTGCACATGAAAAGAAAAGCTGCTGTTTGTGCACACTTTTATGACCCTTCAGGATCTCACAGCTTTGTGTCCATCATATGAACCGTGATACTGTCTGTGATAGAAACCTGAGCAGTCACTCGTGGTATGGGAAGCAGAAGAAGATTACATTCCTGACATGCTTTTTTAGCAACCAGCAAAACATGTTCATGTTCAAACATCAACCACTAATGTGTTTCAGTCAAACTGCTTTTTCATTATAAATATGAAATGTAGGAAACAGTATGGTGCATTTGATAAAAGTTACAGTAAGAACGATTTGATACATGCATGTTTCTGCAATAAACGGCTGGTTCTTGAAATATCAGGTGCTAACAAAAAATATAAGAAATTTCAGTATTAAAATGTCCCGCCTACTTATATTACTAATGTCCCAGTTTCATTTTGTCCATTTGAGATAACGCCACCTTTAATAATTGTAACAGCAGTGCACAAAGATCACAATGACTGATCATGCAGAGAGAGTCTTAGGTTTAGGTTGCCCTGGATCCTGTTTTACAAATAGATCCTCTTTTTAACTGCATTGTTCCCTCGCCATAAAATATGTTGGCGCAATGGTTCAGTGCTCATCAACAGCTGGCGTAGGCAAAAATAACTGAGTGCCACCTGAGTGTTATTTTTATTTGGAAGGAATATGTGAAACACATTTGTCAGAACTCAAAGATACAAACTGTGTGTTTCTTTAAGATACAACCCTTTTTTCCTTACATGCGCTGTGTCCATGAACTTCTCTGGCTATTACACTACGTTTTTGTGTGTGATAATGCAGGAGCCAGTGCATTCTGATCTGCTGTTTTTATTCAGCAGCTACCTGAAAGCACAAGGTATGCATGATGTCCAGTTGTGCTACTCTCACACCAGAACGGAGCTAGTGAGTGGTTATTTTCTGCTCTTGATGTGATTTATAGTGAGAGCCTGACTGATACAAACTTAAACGATCTCTAAAGAAGGACAAATTCAGACAGACTTGATTCTTTGAGACTGTCTGGAGTTCACCTTTGGGATTATTTTAAAGGTACAGTGTGTAAAACCTCACCACTAGATGTCAGTAAATTGCAGTCAACTGGATTATATTTTGTTACCCTTTCAATTCAAGTGCATAATCCTAGCTACAGTAGCTGCTGTAGAACAATCAGCTCTGGCCACTGTTTATCTGTAGTGAGTCTAGGCTGTCAATCCCCTGTTTATTTCAGCTGTCAATATGTATCCATGTCTATTTGCTTTGGAAGAGGCTGAAGACCTTTGTGAAAGGAGTCCAAAAAGAGTCGACGAGACAGCAATGCTAAATTCTGTCCTATGGCAGTATTTCTGAGGTGAGTTCTTGAGGATATCTTTAACTTTTCTGTCAGAAAGTAGTGCTTTGAGCCTCTGTTAGGGTCTGCTCTCTCATACAATGTGAGAATGTAATCAAACTGTTTATCAGAGGAAAACTGTGTTTTTAGGGCACTTGCCCTAACATTAGCTGGTTAGCTTATAATGTTAGTTTTTAACCAGCTGTTGTTGTTTAGCCAGTTTGTTATCAGCTGTCTGGAGACTTGAGAGTTTCAAGTCTAATCTGCTGATGATAAGGAATTACCAATATCAGGAATAAATTAGCATGTTTATGCACGTTTTCATGTGTAAGAGGCCTGTCTTCAGTTCAGGGGTCGAACACATGCTTGTCACATGATGAGTTTGAGGCTGAGACAAGCTTGAACTTGTAGTCTGCTTCTTTACATGGTTTATTGTTCGTTTGTGCATGTTTTATTGAGGAAGCTCAGTTTTAAAAGGAACTATTTGGATGTTTACATCATTTGAAACCTTGCTAAATACTGTTTTCCCCTCAGACTTGAGGGAACTTATGGAAAAGAAAGGAAAAACACTTGTTCATGTTTTACATATATTGTATGTCCCATAGACTTACATAAATATAATTGTTATTTATTCATAACGGTTGGACATTTTGCATTTATTTCATGCAATATAATTCTAAGGACCAAGTGTAAAGAAGTATAAATTCAGTATTGTTTTGAGTAGTAAAAATGTGAAATGTCTTGATGCGTGCTCAATCATCCAGGTAAGCAAATCCCAAAAAGTTTCCTATTGACACTTACCAGCCAGTGGACACTCTTTCAATGATGAGGATGTACACATCCTGAATGGGGAGGAAAGCTGGTTTGAGCACGAAGTCATGAGGCCATTTACGTGAAAAGGGAAAGACCATCTCTGAATCGAGGAGGGGGCCTAAAGGTACATCTTTTACCATCTTACAATGCTGTGATTAAAGCCATTCCCCAACTCTCTGTGAATGGTACTTCTGGCCACTGATCAATGGTTGTTGATCATTCGTCATGAGAATTTGCATATTAATGATCAAGGAACTGACCTCACAGCCCATTGTTCATTCAGTGGGCTGGTTTCAGTCACTGTAGAAATCTACTGTTTATAAGTTTGGGGAAACCTGCAGTCAGCTGAGACTGAAGAAGTCACTTGGATGAGTGACGAAACGTTTCTCCCACTGAAAACTCTACGTCCAGATGAAGAGAATCAACCTTTTGGGGAAAATGTGAAATGTTTGAGGAGAAAATTATATAAACTGTGTATTTAAACAATCATGTACTATTGGATTGTAAGTTTATTCAGTTTTTTATTCATTTATTTTTTATTTTCTCTCTTTTCCACGTGATGTTACTCATTTGTTCAAAGGGGTCACTTCCTTGATGTTTGACTAAACTAATGGTTTTGTGATTACCCAGACCTGATGTGTGCTCACACAAACACACAGTTTTCACTTTGATCTTTAGTTTGGACAAAAATGTCTAAAACTGGCCCGTGAATATATAAACACACACACACAGACACACAGAGCCACAGCTATGAAGAGTTTAGCTTACTAATTTGAGTGACAGAAAACCCCAGTTAGGACCCTGCTGGGCAGAGAGATAGGAGCTCATCAGACTTATCTCCCCCTCCCACATCACCCACTGCAGACCCCTAGTTTCAACATAAATACAAAAACTTAAAACACCGCTTATATATTTATGGAGTCTAATCTAAGTGAGCCATCACTTAGCATCGGGTAAACTGCACTTAACCTTCATGAATCCATAAGAGCTGTGTCAGTGGTTAACACCAAACTGGTGTAATGAGGAGTTTAATATGCACAAAACTAACTGTTACAAAGTGACACCATGTTTTTTAAGAGGAAATTCAGCAGGTTTATGGGGCCAAATATAGCTGTTATCAGCTCCCACAGCTGAGTGGGCAGTCCACTGTGAGTAGTGAACGTATCATCTGCAGATGCGAGTAGTAACTGAACATGCCAGACGATGACAGCTAAAACCACAAAACTGCTAGAGGACCATTGAGAAAGGAGTTTCTTTCCCAGGGTGACCTCAGCTCACCCACTCACAATTCTGGTTATCAAATGCGCTCAGCTTAATAATGGTGCACAAGAAGGAAGTACATAAATAAAAATAAAAAAATAGAAAAAACGAAGATGAGGACGAAGAGGTTTTGTGTCGGGTGAAGTCCACGGGGAGACTGGAAGGATGGATGAAGGAACCAAAAGCATGATTGTGTTCTTTCTGCTCTTCGTTTTTTCAGGTGAGAATCCTGGTGACGTTTTTCTCCCCACAATTCTGATTTTATAATTACAACGTATGATATATATGACATAATGAACAACTTTAAGTATCAACATGATAATTGGAGAAGAGTCCTCTCTATCCTCTCAGGTAAGCCAGCAGAGGGTCAGAGTCTGTTGGATGTGTGCTCAACCTGCCATGCTAATGCCACGTGTGACGACAAGTCAGATGGCTCGGGCAAAGTTTGTAACTGCAAGTACGGCTTTGTTGGAAATGGAAGAACCTTCTGTCAAGGTAGGAAAAAAATAAATATCTGTACTGCTGCTCCAGTTAATATATTAAAAATTAATCAAGTAACTTTATGTAATGTAAAAGAGGCTGCTCATAGGGATAAACCCACAGCGAATCAGCATCCACTTGTACAGTTTTCCAAGACTCCAAACAGCTCTTTAACGACTTTATGCTAACTATTTTGGTTTCATCAAATTTATCGTTTTTTACCGCCAACATCAGGATCATTTCTAGCAACAGCAGTGATCTGTTAGCACTCTGCTGCTGCACAGCAATCAAACAGTATGTAACCAAACAGCCCACAGACTAAAACATTACACGTATCTACCTGTTGTACAGTTTTCACACGAACATCTCCACTGTCAGCATCTTGGCAGCAAAATGAGGGATGTGAGGAGAAGAGGCGGTCTGATTGACAAAGTGTTAGCCAAAGTTTTATATCACAGGCAATCATTTTAAAACAGAGTATGACCACAATTAACAAAGTAGATGCCATTTTTATTCCATATGACCCCAAACTAGTTTTTACAGAGTTTAACGTGGTTATAGAGGTCACATCAGAAAGACTTCAATAGGTCTGGAAGTTACATGAGTTAAGGCAAAGTTTCATTGGCTTTATTTTCCTAGCCTGAAGCTATAACCATGTTTTATGCTGGCTATGCCACAGGCGAGGTTAATAAGCTGGTGAGCATGATGGAGTATTTAGCAGCTCACAAGCTACAAATATAGCTCCAAATGTTGCTTTGCTCAGTATGTTAACAACCCCTTGCTTCCTGACACTTGAAGGTATATCTTATTATAGTTTCTATCCAAGAGGCCAAACCTAGACAGAGTCTAATCCATACTCACAGCTCTATGAGGTTGTACCTATATGGGTTGTTCTTGGGTAAAGGTGATTTGAGCTAAATGCTAATTAGAAGTGACTAATACTCGCAGTGATGTTAATTTAGCATGTTAGCATCATATTACATTTAATAATTAGCAAAAACACAAAATGCAACTAATGCTGAGGGGTATGGAAATGGTTTAGCAAGTTTAATAAAGGCGTGAATAAGTAAGAAGTATAAAAATAATAATTACAGAGTTGTATTAATACATACCACTAAAAGGAATGAGTATTCGGGCCAGATTAAAAAACCAATTTTTTAAAAAATAGATTAAAGTCCAAATACTATTTTGAGAAAAAAGTTGAAATGTGGAGTCATATGAACTTGGAAGAGTTGGCCGGATATTGTACAAAAAATAAACTGGCTGGCAGTGGACAGATACAAGGAAACTGATGGTTACACCCTCATGCAATAAAGAGGATTTATGT